ACTGGCGCAGCAGTGGCATCCCGACAACTTCCAGTCAGAGGCTGAGAAGAAGGAAGCGGAAAAGAAGTTTATTGACATCGCTTCAGCTAAAGAGGTCCTCACTGACCCAGGTCAGGAGCTGAGATTGTTTCTTTTGTACTAGCACTTTGTGATTTTAGGATAGAAGATTGATACCACTCAGCCAGCAGCTAGTTAGCTTACTGTAACTTAGCATAAAGTTGGAAACAGGTAGCCTAGCTCTGTCCATAGCAACTAAAAGACTTAGCATTATACTTACTATTTTTTGGTAGACTAAGCTAAGCTGCTGGTTGTAGCTTCCTATTGAACAGATAAACATGAGCATGGTAGCAGCTATTGTCAAGAAAGCAAATTGGCTTGTTTTACAAAATGTCGAACTGTTCCTTTACTCAGAGGCGTAACACAGATATCCAGCAAAGAGAGATATCAAATCTTAATCTTGGTTCCAGAACAGCAAACCTAAGTTTTAGAGTATTGTCTGTTCAAAGGGTCTGTACATTTATAATAAGGAAAGAGGTTGTATTAGCATTTGTGTTTGATATCATCTGATGTAAGCATCATAATAAGTAATGACTGAAGCTTTGACTCCCTACATTTGTCCCGCCATGTTTCCCATGGTCTTGCCAGAAATGAGGCAGAAGTTTGACGCAGGCGAGGATCCCCTGGATCCAGAAAACCAGCAAGGCGGAGGCGGAGGACAACAGGGCTGGCCTTTTCACTTCAACCCCTTCGAGTCTGGTGGCAGCTTCCACTTTAAATTCCACTACAACTAGAGAGGAGGACTTGAACATGAGGTGGGTGGTGACATTTTCGGACGGATGGGACTTTAGGGGACGATCTTCTACAGATTTGTGGAGGAGTTCTCAGAACTTGTGTGTCTACTTGAACACAGTTTTGTGGGTTACTTGAACCTTAAGATTTTTTTTTTTTTAATGCCTGGACAGCAAAGACTCAAGCTTTACAGTGGAAAAAAAATCTGGACTTCTTATCACGAAAAATGAAGGACCTAGCTGGGACTGTTGTTGAATTGACTTGTTACTGTGGTCGAAGAAAAAAAAGCTTGTGTCAATATGTCAGATCCTTAGGAACAGAATGTGGTGGTTGATGCACTCGTTATAGGACTGTTTCTTTTTGAAAAGTCTGCTCTTATTACTCCTTTCTTTGTGCCATTCTTTGAATATTTACTGAGGAACTCCTTTTTTTAATGCAGTAGCTCCTACTTGGACATGACATAAACTGTCGGTGTGTTGGTTCTATGCTTGCAGTATTCTTTAAAGGAATTACATGTTTACTGAGCTCAGTGTATATTTTTGACCACATTGAAGCATCTCTACACTAGAGAGCCAAGATTTTTATATTAATGACATCAGAAGACATGTTGTTGAGTTTCTATATTCATGGTGAGAGTTGTAGCACCTCTATATGGAACTTATGGGTGAAACGTTTGGAAATCCTATGGATCTAAGAGGCCGGTGTACCCAGCTTGCGAGTTATTTTTGATTTTGCTTTAAATTCCAATTAGTTTTGCACAGTTATCTAACTGGAATAATGTGAGAATTCAGCATTTTGATTTATATATCCAACTGCAAGCCTTACAGATGTTAACTGAAATTGAAGACTTGGTTAAAACCACTGACTGTAAAGCGACGGACAGGCTATGAGCTCCCAGAAGTGAAGCCACCAAAACATGATTATTGAGATGTGGTACAACCTGGAACTGCTCCAAAGAAAATTAAATGGGGAGTGATTTCCAAAACCCTTTTGTACATGTTGGCTTCTGCAGAGTTGTGCTTTGGTGTCATACAGCTGGTTCAGAAACAAACTTAATTTCTGTCTTTGACCAGAAATGCTCACAGTGACAATGTTAACCATATTTACCATCACAGTTTGACATATAGCATGCTAACATTTGATTATTATTGCTGAAAAACAAAAGTACAACCACGGCTGTGAGGATTCATCTGGTTATACAAACTAGCACTGTAATAAATATCCCAGTATTATACTAAAACGGTCTGCTTGCTGAACGCCGGCCACCATACTAGCTGTATAAAATATAGACGCCATGACAGCTCCCAGAAGTGAAGCCACCACAAGTCGATCGCTACCTGGTGGCTGGTTGCCATAAATCCCGCCTCCTCCATGTTAGTGAATGGGACACGACTAAACTAAAATGTCAAAGTACAAATCAAATAATTTTCTTTCCCAGAGGTCACATGGTTTTTGTTAGATACTATCACGCTGATGTGTGTACAAGTGGTCATTTTTCTGCTAAGTTTGTTTTTGACAATATTAAAAAATGGTATTCAGCTTTCAGTGGCGGTTTAACGCCTACACCCCACTTGTGGTCACTACTGTGCAGAATCTTATTGCAAAAAAATCAAGACAGCAGCTGCTGTATTCATGTTATTTTGGTTTCATTTTTGCATAGTGGAGGGAAGTGGTGATGCCATGACCATCGTATACATGTCAATGGTTAAAACACAAGTAAAAACTGTTTGCTATTTACTGTACAACAAGTCCAGAACTCTAGTGTCCCCTTCCCTTTTTGTTTCAAAGCACTTCTTTGAAAATTTGCACTTTTACCCTGTTTGTGGGGAAAAGCACTCCTGAAATGTTACTGACTCTTTACAAATCAAACATCTTCAGTAGTTATGAGAGCCTCATTTATAGAAAGTGCACATGTTGCCTGTTGGAGCATACTGTTTGTAATTCACAAGCAGAATGTTTGGATAATGTTCATCCAGTGGGGGAACACAAATGCACACAATAAAACTTAGTGCAACTCTGTAAATAAGGCTCCAGTTTGTTCTGCCCACAACAGATTAACCATAAACTGGGACAACATCCTATTGATTTGATGTTTGAGCACAAATTAAATTATTTTGTCAGTAACAGTTTAAGGAAAGAGCGACTGTAACTACTTTGAGTCCTATCTACTGCTCAGCTGTGTGAATTGAATGTGACAGGCTCTTTGTATTAAAATTGACTGAGTGGCACAGTGGTTTCTCTTCAGGTTTTTCTTTTGTTAGCAGCATCTGTTTTTCCTTTGCCAGACCAAATCAACTGACATGCTCAAGTGCATTAAAATATTGAAACAATCCAGTTTGTACAACTTTGTTAATGTTTTGTAAAGCAGGGTGAGCAACACAAAGCTGCAAACATCAATTTTACTTTAAAACACATTGTAACAAAGACTTTTACTGTACACAACACTGAACCGCATCCATACAGTAACTGCTGTATACACACACGCACACACGCTGCACTGTACATAGACCAGGGAGGGAGGTGGTTAAATTCAAGAGTTCTGTATCAGTAGAGGCTGAGCAACTGAATAAATCCTCCAGTCAAGATGTGCAGTCTTGTTTTGGCTCCACCACAGCCTTACAGCTGGCTCACTGAGACTCAGTCGCATGAATTCAGAGTGTTGTGCGAACATGCGGGGCTTCATCAGTGGTTCACTCGAAATCCTTGTGTGTCATCCAAACTGTCTGCCTCCACCTCGATGGACACCACGTGGTGACCAGGGATCATGGCCAGGCCCAGGACCCTGGGTTCACCCTGGGAGAACATGTCTGGGAGAAAAAAGACAAACCAGATGAATTATCCAGGTAAGATGGGGATTATCTACACAGAAGAACAATGGGGAAATGATGAACCCTAAAATGGTATTACAAATGATTTTCTGCATGTTTTCAACTCTTTGATCTCTAAATAGCCATAAAGGGAAAGTTGAAGTTTACATTGGGTCTGTAAATTATGTTAACACTGTAACACACTGTTGAGCCTTCTGTGTCGTAGGCCCAACTGAATTAAACCCTAGTTAGTGAGAAGGTGCCCACCTGGTGACCCTGTAGACTTGCCTTCACTCCTACACCCACACAGAACTTGTGCTGGTGATAATATAGCTACAGACTCACTGGAATTGTTAAGTGTCTTCTTTTGTTAGACAGTCTTGGTAGAACAGTGTCAGTGGTTGCACAACTGAGCAGACCTGGCTCTCAGGTGGGCCGGCCACTGCTTAAGCAGAGCAAATACAATGCAGATGCTGTGTGTCAAGCCACATATCTGCTCTTTGCTTTGCTGAGGATAGTGTTCAGGGATGCTTTGTATTAAGACTGGGTTAAGTCTGGACAGTGGTGTTGCTTATTTTGGGGCTCTGAAAATGTATGACACCGCCACTTTGAGGCCAAATAATAGATCAACATTTAACTCATATACTGAGCTTCCATATGAGTGCCCTCCTAATAATAAACATTTAATTGTGTATTATTGACTGTCTGGCATTAAAAATACTGTTTCCTCTGACAACACTTCCAAGAAAAATGACCCCAAAACTACATTACTTAACTGCGTTTTCCTCGCTTTTGTTGCTGTTTGGGTGTTTTCTATTATTACATCATTCTCGTGTAGGCTGGTATGATGTTTGTCACATTGTCAGGTTAGGAAAATAGTATATATCAGTTACTTCATTATTGCGCACTGTGCTCTGGGGCTTCTCGGTCATTTCTGGTGTTTTTCACCCACCTGTGGATTTAAGGAACTCCTGAGCTGAGCCGAGGATGACGTTACAGTCCCGGTCTGTGCAGAGGAAAAGTCCCACCAGGGTCCGTCCGTCTGTCATACGGATCCTCATATTTTTGTTCAGGAGCCCCTCTAGATTGTATCTGGCCTGGCCGGACGAGGACACGTCGGGGTGCTCCTGGGTGTGGACAGAAATATCACAAACAACCGTATGTAATTGTGAACTTGACTTATTACCTCAAGTCTGGTTCAAACTGTTTGTTTTTTTTTTTTTTACCCATTCGTCATGTTACGTATATATTTGCTGTTTACAGTAGCGTTATTTTTCCAAATTCTATGGCAAAGCACTGCCGTCATTAAATTTCCACATGTTTAATAGGTGACGGTAGTAACTTAACTTTAAAGCTGACATTCGTTCGTTAGCCACAGGCTAAGGCTAGGCTACAGATGAAACACTGATAATGATGGATTACGTTTCAAGTAAACATTTTCCCTCTGTTATTACATATGAAACAATGCGGACAGATAATGTAAAATGCAAACATATGTAAAAAGACATATATAACCTACATGAGTCGAAGGACCGTTTTCCTCAATTATTGCTGCCATATCCACTATTTCCCCTACATTTACGTACGGAGGATTATTTCTGACGGACCAGTTAAACCGGAAACTCAGCAATCCATTTTTTAAAGGGAAAGTTACTATTAAGATACAACCGGTGGATAAGGCAAATTTACTTCAGATTTTGCAAAGAAAAAAAAAGTCAAAATAAGAAATTACATTGGTACTATCTCAAATTTAACGAAAGAGGCAAGAAACAACGGAGGGGGACCCCATTAACTGTAAGAATATATTGTTAAAATTTGTAATTTTTTACAGCTGACATTTAGTATCTGTTTAGCTAAATTTGTAGCAGGCTCCTGAAAACCGTTGTCCACATACCAGTATATAATGCGAACCTAAAATGTGATGTATCGGGTTAGATTTTAAAGGGAAATTCCAAGTCTGGAGAAATGACTTATTTTAAAGCGAGACAGTGTACCTATTGCTCAACAGCGACCACTAGTGGCATCCTCATATGATAACGGTGGATTAAATTTCCCATCATTTCGTGAAGGTATTAACGTAGCTACATAGGCTATTGTTTTAGCTTTGTGATAAAATTCATTCAGATGTTTACTAGTATGACACACATAAACACACCTATGCTTATGTTTTGCCCCATAGGCCCAAACACCAGTTGGATTTCTGGGCATCAGCTCTCCGGAAAAGCTGCAGCTGAATGTTCAGTGTGTACTGTGGATGTCAAATGACGAGTGAACACAGTATCTTTCCAGCATGAATCAACAAAGCCACTTAGCTCACTCAAGTGAGTCTGCAGCATCAAAAACCGTGAGTGCAATAAACTAAGCAAGGCTGTATTTTATTGCTTATTAGCTGAACTTGCCATTTGTAGGATAATGCTTGTTTTGTCTTTAAAAAGTTAAACAAAATAATGTTACTTTT